TATTTGAAACTGCATAGCGTTATATTCCTGAAAAATGTAACATTACAGTCAAAACCACCATAATTTTATTTTTCATTGCAATTATTTAAATTAATAACAAGGACAAGATATGCCTCATTTGTTGTAACAACATATGCGTCTTCACGTGTACCTTGAGTTCAGATTCTCCTATATAGTGAAATTACAATCTTTTGCTTGTGAAAATTATTAGAAATAATGAAAAGAAGCCATGGGATGAAGGGTTACATATAAATAACATAACTTCTCAGACCATAGGATAAAGGGTTAGACAGAAATCATGTGTAAGATATTTCCCTTTACATGTCGTCATGCATAAGATATTTCCATTTCTTTGTCGTCATGCAACAACGAATTATATTCTAAATCCATCATTCAATAATAACTCTCCTTCCTTGGCGTCATGCGTGAGATATTCCCATAAAAATGATACAATACGAAAAATTTACACCATTTTTGTAACATTCCTTACCATAGACAAAGTCGTTGAGGGATGTGAAGGGGAATCTTACTTTGAAACAAAAAATTATGATACCAATCAGTTCAAGACACTCCAAAACACATGAAATAGATAAAAGTTACACGTGCTTACCTTTGAAAAATCTTCCCTTTCAACATACCAAAAATAATAGAATACGTGTCCTCCACGCAATATTCTTTTCTAATAAATGAAAGAGAGAATAGACAAAGTAAATGATAGATATTCTAATATATTAAATTTCTAATTGATCCTCAAACCTACTCACTAACAAAACAAAAAGTGGAGTGCATCTAGACGCACATCTACATTTAATACAATTATTGACAATATATGTTATTCATTAAAGATATTAAATTTTTTGAGAAATTACAAATATTAAATACGAAGAAGAAAACTAATTTAAAATATAAAATTATACCTAAACACAACATGTCTCTGTCTCACCAATTGTGTAGAAGTCTCCTACTACACGTCTATTTATGTCTCTCCCTTTTTCTTCTACGCGTAAGCTTTTTTCTTTAGTTATATTTAACAATGTCATTTTTTATTCTTAAAAGTAGGGTTGTCCTTGTTCGAGAGCATCCACGCCACTGCTTAATTAATACTTGTTATTAATACACTTGTTAGAAATAATTTTTATAAAAATATTATAATACTAAATTGTACTGCAATCTAAATTTGCATATCTGACATAGCTTTACTTTTGTTCCAATTCTAACTAACCTAAAATAAAAAAGGAGATCAATTAATAAAAGGTTGGAAGTAATAATACCTCAAGATAAATTTGCATCTCTTTACCTGTAATTTTGACTGTGCTTTTGCAGCCAAAGGTTAACCTGGTCTTGCAATATTTTGTCCATATCTTCATCATATCGCTTTATCATGTTTGCAGGCATATCTTCTAGTTTCATTTAATTTTTCAGCTCATTTTTATTTGCCTTGTTATTTATGTCAATACATGCTTTGAATACATCGCCGTCAGGCACCAAATCCCATAAAATATGTATTCTCAGAAAATAAATAAATATAGATTAATATTATTTTCACATAATAGTAAATTAGACCAACTCATAATGCACAATTATTTAATCAAATGAAATACATTCCCGGAAGCGTACATATTTGAAACTGCATAGCGTTATATTCCTGAAAAATGTAACATTACAGTCAAAACCACCATAATTTTATTTTTCATTGCAATTATTTAAATTAATAACAAGGACAAGATATGCCTCATTTGTTGTAACAACATATGCGTCTTCACGTGTACCTTGAGTTCAGATTCTCCTATATAGTGAAATTACAATCTTTTGCTTGTGAAAATTATTAGAAATAATGAAAAGAAGCCATGGGATGAAGGGTTACATATAAATAACATAACTTCTCAGACCATAGGATAAAGGGTTACACAGAAATCATGTGTAAGATATTTCCCTTTACATGTCGTCATGCATAAGATATTTCCATTTCTTTGTCGTCATGCAACAACGAATTATATTCTAAATCCATCATTCAATAATAACTCTCCTTCCTTGGCGTCATGCGTGAGATATTCCCATAAAAATGATACAATACGAAAAATTTACACCATTTTTGTAACATTCCTTACCATAGACAAAGTCGTTGAGGGATGTGAAGGGGAATCTTACTTTGAAACAAAAAATTATGATACCAATCAGTTCAAGACACTCCAAAACACATGAAATAGATAAAAGTTACACGTGCTTACCTTTGAAAAATCTTCCCTTTCAACATACCAAAAATAACAGAATACGTGTACTCCACGCAATATTCTTTTCTAATAAATGAAAGAGAGAATAGGCAAAGTAAATGATAGATATTCTATTATATTAAATTTCTAATTGATCCTCAAACCTACTCACTAACAAAACAAAAAGTGGAGTACATCTAGATGCACATCTATATTTAATACAATTATTGACAATATATGTTATTCATTAAAGATATTAAATTTTTTGAGAAATTACAAATATTAAATACGAAGAAGAAAACTAATTTAAAATATAAAATTATACCTAAACACAACATGTCTCTGTCTCACCAATTGTGTAGAAGTCTCCTACTACACGTCTATTTATGTCTCTCCCTTTTACTTCTACGCGTAGACTTTTTTCTTTAGTTATATTTAACAATGTCATTTTTTATTCTTAAAAGTAGGGTTGTCCTATTTCGAGAGCATCTACGCCACTGCTTAATTAATACTTGTTCTTAATACACTTGTTAGAAATAATTTTTATAAAAATATTTTAATACTAAATTGTACCGCAATATAAATTTGTATATCTGACATAGCTTTACTTTTTTTCCAATTCTAACTAACCTAAAATAAAAAAGGAGATAGATTAATAAAAGGTTGGAAGTAATAATACCTCAAGATAAATTTGCATATCTTTACCTGTAATTTTGATTGTGCTTTTGCAGCCAAAGGATAACCTGGTCTTGCAATATTTTGTCAATATCTTCATCATATCGCTTTATCACGTTTGCAGGCATATCTTCTAGTTTGATTTAATTTTTCAGCTCATTTTTATTTGCCTTGTTATTTATGTCAATACATGCTTTGAATACATCGCCGTCAGGCACCAAATCCCATAAAATAGGTATTCTCATAAAATAAATAAATATAGATTAATATTATTTTCACATAATAGTAAATTAGACCAACTCATAATGCACAATTATTTGATCAAATGAAATACATTCCCGGAAGCGTACATATTTGAAACTTCATAGCGTTATATTCCTGAAAAATGTAACATTACAGTCAAAACCACCATTATTTTATTTTTCATTGCAATTATTTATATTAATAACAAGGACAAGATATGCCTCATTTGTTGTAACAACATATGCGTCTTCACGTGTACCTTGAGTTCAGATTCTCCTATATAGTGAAATTAAAATCTTATGCTTATGAAAATTATTAGAAATAATGAAAATAAGCCATGGGATGAAGGGTTACATATAAATAACATAACTTCTCAGACCATAGGATAAAGGGTTACACAGAAATCATGTGTAAGTGATAACTCATATTTTGTTACACTTATTTATTACTCTTGGTTGGTATTTTTATGATTTATTTGAATTAAATAAAGGTCTTTTGGGTCAATTCACTATTCTAGATTTTAGTTGGGTTTAATTGATTTTCGTCATAATTTTCCAGATTTACACTACTTTTTTATTTTGACCATATCTCACTCTACAGATGTCCGATTGACTCCGTTCTTGTTTCTGTTTGCAGCTAACGGATAGGGCTACAATCGCTATTTCAGCTACTGAAGCCCACTTCGGACGGAAAGATGGTCGAAACTTGATCTCAAGATGACGTGTTTTGCTGGAATTTTATTTTGACGTTTGGACTTGTAATTCACATTAGGACCCAATGTGTTTAGGGCCCAAGGCCATGTTTTATTTTATTGTTTTATTTTTTATTTAGATTTTATTTTATGTTTTGGCTGAAGCGGTGAAACCCTAGCCGTCCTGCGTGACGGCTATTTAAGGGAGACTCTAGGAAACCCTTCAGCAGTCAGTTTTTACAACAGAGAAGTTCTCTCTGAGTTTTTATTCAATTGCGTTCTTCATCTTTTTTCTTCTTCTTCTTCTTTTTATTTCAATTATGTTTACCTTAGCCATGCGAGGCTAAGAACCTTTTAATCAACCTAAGGGTAATGGATTCCATGGATTGGTCTTGAGGGTCTGCGTTTATTTCAAATCAGTTTTCGTTTCCCTTCCAAACTCAGATTGATATCGTGCGATCGTGGATATTCAATCTGAGGTTCGCGATTGCGATTATGGAAAGGGATTAATCATCAAATTTGATGATTAGGTTGATTGACCCTATGACCTTAAATCAAGCGGGCTCATACTCTGCGATTGTATGAGTAGAAGCATTGTCTTTGATCAAATGCTAAGCGATCGCTTAGAGAGGGTTGTCAATTGGAAATAAGGATTCTGATCCGATTGACAAATCAATCACGATTCTGATATTTTCTTATCCGAGGAAAGACGTCCATGGATCCCAAACCTTAGGTTGGTTATTTTTAATTACGAATTTTTATTCCAAATTTATATTCTGCCTTTTTAATTATTGAATCAAAATCCAAAACCCCCCTTTTAATTTTCTGTTCTCATAAGCGATTTTAACCAAAACAATTTCCTTGAGAGACGATTTAGGGTTTCCACTTTACTGCAAATTTTCTGAACCCTAAAGAATTAATTTTTAATTTGCGCGAGTTCGACAGCTCGTGTCAAATTTGGCGCCGTTGCCGGGGAAATTGCATCGGTCTAAATCGTTTTCTGATTCTTGATCATCTTCTTTTTCATCTTCATCTTCTTTTGCTTTAATTTTCGTTTCTGAAAAAAAAATCAAAAAAAATCAAAAAAAAATATTTAAAAAAAAAATTTGTGTCTTATCGTACGTTTCGTGATTTTACTGCTTTATGCTTTGCCTATGATGCATGACTAGGAGTAATACCAGTGTTGATGATTTATATGCATATGACCCTGAGATAGATAGATCATTGCATGCTGCTAGTAGAGCTCGTAGGTTGACTTACAGTAGAGTTGTTCCTGAGCATACCTTAGAGTCTGTTGAGTCTATCGAGTCTGTTTGTTCGAGTCCTTTACATAGTGTTTATTCGTTTGGTCATTTATTTGATTCTGAAATCATGGGTGATAGAACACTTAAGCAATTGGCTGCTCCTAATGTTGATAATGAGCAACCCTTGTGTATTCGTTATACTAATCCTGTTGTGCCTTTTCAGCTTAAGTCTGGACTAATACACTTGCTGCCCAAGTTTCATGGTCTTGCAGGTGAGGATCCCCACAAACATCTGAAGGAATTTCATATAGTCTGCAGCACTATGAAGCCAACAGGGGTGGATGAGGAACAAATCAAGCTGCGTGCTTTCCCTTTCTCTTTGGACAGTGGAGCTAAGGACTGGTTGTACTACCTGCCACCTTCCTCCATTGTAAGCTGGAATGACATGGCCAGATTGTTTCTGGAGAAATTCTTCCCTTCATCCAGGGCCACTTCAATCAGAAAGGAGATCAGTGGCATAAGGCAAGCTAATGGGGAGAACATGCATGAGTATTGGGAACGAGTTAAAAGGCTTTGTTCAAGCTGCCCACACCATCAAATTCCAGACAATCTCCTGCTTGTTTACTTCTATGAAGGGCTGCTGCCTATGGATAGGAACCTTTTGGATGCAGCTAGTGGAGGAGTCCTGAGCAATAAAACACCTAATGAAGCCAAGGAGCTGATTGCTGAAATAGCTGCTAATGCTCAACAATTTGGCACTAGAGCCAACAGCAGTGCAGTCTTCCAAGTGCAAACTCCACCAGTGCAAAATCCAACAGTAGCAGCAACAGGAGCATCAAGCACAGATAACCAGAGAATGGAGAACAGACTTGATGAGCTGACATCAATGGTGAGGCAGTTGGCAGTGACAAAGACTGTGCAACCTTCTGCTCAACAGATAAGCAACTTGTGTGGCATCTGCTGTGATCCTTCTCACCCCACGGATGCCTGTCCTTCCTTTCATCAAGACAGCGATTTCCAAGATGATCAGTCTGTTGCTGCAATTTTTCCTGGAAAGCCACAGTACCAGCAGCAGCAACAACAACAGTACCAGCAGCAGCAAAATAATCCATTCTCCAACACTTACAATCCTGGCTGGAAGAATCATCCCAACCTCAGATGGAACCAGAATCAGCAAAATGTTCCATATCAAAGTCAACAAAATTTTCCATACCAGCAGAAGCAGCAGTTCATTCCACAGCAGAGACAAAACTTCCAGCAACCTGCTCCCCAACAGTTGCAACAACAACCACCAGTGCAGCAGCAAAACAGTGGCAGTGGTCCTTCTTTGGAGGACTTAATGAAACAGATGGCCACTAGCAATCTGCAGTTCCAGCAGAGGACTGAGTCTTCTATTCAGAATCTGCAAACACAGATTGGCCAGCTTGCAACGTCAGTAAATCAAAATCAACAAGCAAGTGGAAGCTCCCTTCCATCCCAAACAATTCCAATTCCAAAAGGAAGCGGAAATGTGAGTGCTATTACTTTGCGGTCTGGAAAGCAAATGGAGGAGCCAACCCACACTGCTGCTGAGACATCCAATGGAGGTGACACTAGCTCCAAGAAGCAGAGCATTGATACATCTGATGTCCATATCCCTTTGCCATTTCCTCAGAGAGCCACTAAGTCAAAGAAGCAGTCAGCAAAGGTTCAAGATAAAGAGATACTTAACACCTTCCGGAAAGTTGAGGTGAACATCCCTCTTTTGGATGCAATACAGCAGATTCCGCGATATGCCAAGTTTCTAAAGGAGCTGTGCACCAACAAGAGGAGACTGAAGGGAGATGAGCAGGTTAACCTGAGTCAGAATGTATCGGCACTCATCCAGCCCATGCCTAAAAAGTGTCAAGATCCAGGGACATTTACTATCCCTTGCGTGATTGGCAATTCTGTTTTTCATGATTGCATGCTAGACTTAGGAGCTTCCATCAATGTTATGCCTGCATCTGTGTTTAAGTCTCTTGGTCTTGGTCCTTTGCGTGCCACTGGTATTGTGGTTACGTTAGCTAATAGGAGTAGTATTCACCCATCTGGTTTGATTGAGGATGTATTAGTCAGAGTTAATAATCTGATTTTTCCTGCTGATTTCTACATTTTAGAAATGGAGAGTGAGACTGCTACTAATAGATCCCCAATCATACTTGGTAGGCCTTTCATGAGGACAGCTAGGACCAAGATAGATGTTCATTCTGGTACTTTTTCCATGGAATTTGGTGATAGCATTGTGCATTTTAATATATTTGATGCCATGAAACATCCTAGGGAAGAGCATTCTGTCTTCTGCATTGATGTGATAGATGACGTTGTTGAGGATGTTTCTGCTACATTCCTTGCTGAGTTTTCTACTGATTTTGATTCTGATTTCTGTGGTTGTGGTGATAGTCGAGAGTGCATTGTATGTGATGAAATAGCATCTCATCTTTCTGGTTTCAATGATGCACTGATTGATGATTCTGATTATGAGTGTGAATCTGCATTTTCTGAATTGCCTGCTGATATTATTGATGATCCTAATCCTGTTTCTGAGAATTTGTTTACAGGCATTGCTGCTGACTTGTTTTCTGCAGAATTTGCACCACCAACTACACCTCTTCCATCCATTGAGCAGCCTCCGAAATTGGAGTTGAAGGTTCTGCCCGACCACTTGAAATATGCATTTCTTGAAGAGAATGAGCAGCTACCAGTCATT